GAGGAGGAGGAGGAGAGGAGGAGGAGGAGGAGTGCGCGGACACAGGGGGAAGGGAGGCTTGGCGCGGCACGGCTGTCCCGTCCGCAGGTGCTTGCAGGGATTCACGCCGGGCCATGCCTTCAGGACGGCGCTGTTTTGCCGCGAGCCCAGGGGAGGAGGGGGAGCAGGGAAGGGAGGGGAGAGGGGGGGAGGTGGAGGAGGAGGGGGAGGAGGGGGAGGAGGAGGAGGAGAAGGAGGAAGAGGAGGAGGACAAGGACCAGTGTAAACTCAAGAATCCCCAACGATTTTTAAATGAAGCCTCCGTCCAAGCTCTCTCGTGCTCTCTCGTCATAGGCACCTACAAGGATTCATTTCCACTGAGGGAAGTCATCCGTTGGGAGACAACCGTCTGAAGATCCTGAAGCGTGCCAAAACACCATGCTCGGGACCCCAACGCCACGAGTGAGCTTGAGTGTTGCGGGTTGGTCATCCTTCCGAAAACAACATTTCTGATACGTTAACCATGGGATTCCGTGAGAAGTATGCAGATATTTGGAACGAATGCGCGCGGTGCTGAAGCGAGAGCCACATTTTGAAAACTGCCCGCCCTCAATCATTGAAACCCTTGCAACAATCTAAGCCGAATGTGCCGCGGCGCCACGGCGAGAGCAACATTTTGAAAACCGCTCGCCCTCAATCCGTGAAGCTCTTGCAATCATTTAAGACGAATGCGCGCGGCGCACCCGCCATCATTCACTGAACTCCCTGCAGATGTTTCACACGAGTGTTCGCGGCGCTTATGAGAGAGAGGGTCAGGACGAGCGCTAGCAGGGGGAGGAGTTGGAGCGAGGGGGAGGGGGGCAGTGCAGGGCGTTTTGTGTCCTCGGGCAACTCGATCCCGATCAGACGTTTTGGATTCTAGCGCCAGGGCGCCGACCGACCCCCTTGTCCTCCCCCTGCACTGTGGACTGAAGGTGCGTCTGGGGAGCCTTGCCGAAGGGGGTGTCCGAAACGGCAATGTGCGAACCGTTGCCAGAGCGCACAATCGAATCGGCATGGTTGTTCTCTCTTCCCGTTTCTCTGGCATCCCTTCGTGAAGGTATACAGTGGGGGCGCGTGCCAAGAAACCAGTTGGATTATGTCAGGGTGCCCTGGGTTTCTTGGATTTCGATGGGTTTTCGATCGAAAATATTTGATTTTCACTGAACAAATCGCGGATTTCAGGGTTGGGTTTCTTGCGGAGGTTTCTTGTGGCCGAGCCCCTACTGTATCCCCCTCATCTCTCTTCGTGAAGGTTCCTCCCTCCGTGGAGGTTCCTCCCTGTCCGTTCCTGTTCGCGAAGGTTCCTCCCCCTTCCTCCCTGATGATTTGTCTTCTTGCCGTCTTATCCTTGTGAACGCCGATTCATGGAGAGGAAGCATGCTGCCAAATAGTTCCCAGATGTCAAACAATGTTTCAAACATGTTTTGAACATATAAACACATGTTTGAAACGTTTTCAGAACATGTTTTACACATGTTAATAACATGTTTTGTTCAATGATGGGATTGTTAGAGTGTCCATTGTCATGGCATCCACAAGTCTTATCCCTTCGTGAAAGTTCATTACATTCAACATATCCCTGTTCCACCTTCACTTCCGCCGTTGTCCTGCAACGCGCGCGCTCTTCCGATTCCGAAGTTCCGTCGAAAAGTGCACAGGATTGACCCGGCAGCACCAGCCGTCCACCGATGGCCAGTTGGCTCCGTGTTGTCAGGGGCAACGCGAGGGGGGGATAGGCTCAGAAAGGGAACGCGTCGACTCCCAATCGCCCACTGATCGCAGATAGGGGCCCGAAAGGCCACCCCGCCCAGGAGCATGCGGATTTGCTTTCATGGGCCTATCGCCAATCTATGGGCGATGTATCGCCGATCCCAGCACCGCGCTTGTCCCCCTGAGCCGGTCCCCCCCTCACGTTCCCCCTCATGTTGTGACCTTGCGTAGCGGTGTCATGCGAGGATGTCACTCTTGCCAGGCACGGAGTGTTAAAACATTGTGATGCAGATTGTGCAGGCATTTCTCGGCAAATTGTGCAGGCATTTCTCTGTGATGGTCTCGGCTTTTCCCGGCTCCTCTCGTGTGGTAGGTTCGCCGTATCGACACGGCGGCGACCCCGCCGCGGGCGTTCAAGATTGAGCGTCGCCAGTTGTCCAGAGTCGCCCGATGTCGAGCGACCTGCACGATCGGAACTGCGCGATCGTTCGAGATTGAACGGCCCACGCTGTGCCAGAAGCCGCCGCGCAAGTCGCCACGGCATTGGCCGCCGTACCAGACGCATTGTCCCTCGCAAGGGTCCTGTGCATCATGCTGGAGTGCATGGTCAAGCAGGACGGCGGCACTCTGATCCACGACATGCCCACCTGGAAGGACGCCCCGCCCCACCCCACACTGATCCGCACCCGTGCTGGGCCCCAGCCACGTCTGAACTTCGCTGGGTCTGGGCCGGGACCTGGGCCAGTTTGGGCCCCGTTGGGGGGCCTGA